CTATAATCGACCAGTATGCGTTATGAAACAACTCTGGTAAATATTGGAACTTCACATCTTGCTGCAACAGTAACTTGTGTTTCAAGCGACACATAAATTGCGATATAAACGGCGTTTTATGACTCCACATACATCTTTGGGACCACTTTCAAACAGATTGCAAGATATGGTTGCGCTATTATAATGGCACTGTTTGGTACTATCGGTTCAATGCTGACAAATGTATCTTTGAGTTCGTTCTCTTGTAGCTGGTTCACATTCTGGGCCTGTTGTCTCAACCGTCGCTGTACCTGTCGTCGTTGTCTGCTCTTCCCTGATTGTCCTCATTGCTGCTGTTGTCGTGATACGTGTTTGTGGCAAAAGAGGGAAGAAAGGTCATGTCATCTTGAAGAATACATGTATCTATGTGTGTGTGTGTGTTTGTGTGTGTGTGCGTGCGTGCGTGTGTGTGCGTGCGTGCGTGCGTGCGTGTGTGTGTGCACGCGTGTGTGCGTGTGTGTTTGTGTGTGCGTGTGCGTGTGTGTATGTGTGTGTGCGTGCGTGTGTTTGCGTGTGTGTGTTTGTTCGTTTGTGTGTGTTTCATGCTATTACTATCAACCAGCTTCTTTTGATATTTGATGGTGACATTTTATGAAAATTATTATTGATCATTGTAAGTGCTCTCGGCGATGTACCTTTACTGCATAACTCATCTACCTTCCAGGAGATCATCAGTACAGGTACGAACATATCTTTATAGTGCACAGGTGGTATATGAAGCTTCTAGCATGTTCTGTATGAAGACATCTGTATCTGTTCTATGCTAATTTGTTTTATTCATCACTGCAGGGCCACAACCCAATAATAAAATTGCTCTATTGGCAGAACAAATTAACTTCTATTTTACTGGATGCAATTTCAGTTGTGGTGCACACAATTTCTTCTTTATTATTAATTTTGCCAACGTAAATCATAACAATCACACAAACACGAACTCCGACATGTTTTTATTCTGAATAATAATGTGAAACTTTGTTGATATATAACATGTTCAATATTATTTTAAAAGAAAGATAGTATCATTTTTCTTTAAAACATAGGTGCTACCCACTAATATATTATCATAATTTATATATGTTTGTTTGTTGTTTATTGCCGCACTAAGCAATATTTTAGCTACATGACACCAGTCTGTAAGTAATCAAGTCTGGACAAGACAAACTAATGATTGACATCGCGAGCATCGACCCACGCTATTCGGATGAGATGTCATGCATCAAACAAGTCAGAGAGCCTTACCAAACGATCCCATCAGTCGCCTCTTACGACAAGCATAGTCGCCTCTTACGGCAAGCATGACGGCAAGCTTGAGTTGCTGAAGAACAATTCTAACGCGGATCGTCACAGGTCAATTTATATATGAAGGTTTTACTCAAGCTGGGGACACCTCTTTAAAGCGCCACTTTTTCTTCACCCATGGGCATACAAGAAGTTATTTAAGCTCGTTTTTATATTTTGTATTATGAATTTGACAAGTCATTAATGAAAAAGGGAAACAAGATGACCACATGCTCAAAGATCCATACTACTTTCCATTCCTTTAATATCTACGCATATATGTCTTCGCCTGTCATTTCTTGTATGTTTGTTTTCAGAGAGGCCTTGGGCTAAGTAATTATAACTTGTTTCGTGTATTTCAATAGAGGAAAAAACGTTTTCGTTTAATATATTTAAAGCAATAGTTGTATTTCAATTAGAATTCATACCAATATAGTGACCTCAACGTTTTAAGTTATCAATATATGCCCTAGTCAGAACAGGATCAGGGACTTATTGGTGAAATGTTGGCATGTCTTTATGTACATTTTTAGCCATAGCAACTACGCTATGAATATTCCTGGATGTGTTTGCTAAAGTTTCCTGGTACACACCTAAGTCTTCTTTGGTAGATATTCCTGTTAATCTTAACATAGTCCTGTTGAATGTGTCATTTCGTTTAACACGCAATGGGTACATAACAGTTCAGGATAATATAAATAGTATACCCTACAATATCCTGAACAACGGTAAACATTGTAGCATTGGATTTGTTGGAACAAAACGTTGACAGTTTTGATTTAGTGTCACCTTTAGCCCGAACAAATATTTTAGAAAATATTCATCAAATTCTAAATATATTGTAAGAGTTAACTGGCTGAAACCTTGATCTGTAGATTTAGAGGTAACTTATCAAGCAACAACATTAATTATAGGTCTGAATTACACATTTCAGATGTAATAGTTTCTTGTTTTAGATAGAATTAGTAGATTTACATGTAACAATAGTACATCAAACTAATTTATTATGAAACAATGTTTATTTACAGATGGTCATGGCATGAGGTATATATATAATTAAACGATATCAGCAAAGCTTTCTTTCATAGACATTTTTAAAAATCAGATGACATACAATCCAACATATATACGTGATAGGTGCCTCATTTGTGTTAACAAAATGTGTTTCTGGTGATGACATATATTAAGTAGATGTCCTTTATCAATTGGATTAACGTTAATGAGGAATATGTAATTAGTTACAGTAACCGACTGCTGAGGGAACAGGTCAACATCTACAGGTCTCTTCATTCTTCAGCTTCTTCTACAGAGGAAAACGGCACCAGGTACAGCCATGTGTAAGGGAACAGTTACACATCTACACGTCTCTCAACCCTTCAGCTTCCTCAACAGAGGACCAAAGTGCCAGGTGCAGCTTTATGAGAGGGAACAGTTCCACATCTACTCGTTTCTCCATCCTTCAGCTTCCTCTACAGAGGACCACAGTACCAGGTGCATCTTAATGTAAGGGAACAGTTCCACATCTACACGTCTCTCCACCCTTCAGCTTCCTCAACAGAGGACCAAAGTGCCAGGTTCAGCCTGATGTGAGGGAACAGTTCCACATCTACAGGTCTCTCAACCCTTCAGCTTCCTCTATAGAGGACCACAGTACCAGGTGCAGCTTTATGGGAGGGAACAGTTCTACACCTACAGGTCTCTCAACCCTTCAGCTTCCTCTACAGAGGACAACAGTACTAGGTGCAGCCTGATGTGAGGGAACAGTTACACATCTACACGTCTCTCAACCCTTCAGCTTCCTCGACAGAGGACCACACTACTAGGTGCAGCCTGATGTGAGGGAACAGTTCCACACCTACGGGTCTCTCAACCCTTCAGCTTCCTCTACAGAGGACCAGAGTACCAGGTGCAGCCATATGTGAGGGAACCGTTCCACATCTACACGTCTCGCCACCTTTATCCCGCCGAGATACCTACCCATTATATGATAAATGAATATATATTGTGTTGAAACTGGTGGCTATTTTATCTACTTCAGAATACTTTTCGCTTCATAGTACATATTCAAATGAACATTAAACTGTATTCAGTTTTGAGATCCAGTTAAAACTCAAAGGAAGAACACATTGTTGTAAATTGAGCCATTAACTGAATGTAAACAAACGCACGTGTGTAGATTTAAATCTCACCATGCATGACTCTTATATGTCTTTACAACTCACACAACACAATTCTCTTAACCATGTGCATTCTAATATCAAATTGACTATTTATAATTTTAAATTATCACATTATGCCATAATTGAGTTAAGTACTGGATTATTTTTTTATCAAAGTACCTCAATCTTTACGGGCATTCAGATTGTTTTTTGTATTGTCGTCTATAAAATAAATTGATCGTAAGGGGTTACGGAAAGGGGCGAGTGGTGACGAATGGACAAATGAGTTGAAATTGTGGCGTCACTTTGGCCTGCAGGAATCAAAGTCTCACGGATTGTGTGTCCAGGTTTGTCAGCTTTATACCCGTGATCGTGGATTTCAATAAAGTGGTAAGAGTCCTGCAACACTTCAGTCTTCGGTCAGTTATCGATGTTCATGATATTAATCACTGGATTGTCTGGTCGAGACTGCATTATTTACAGACCGCCGTCATATAACTGGAATATTGCTGAGTGCGACGTTAAACAACAAACCAACATCAACCAACCAGAATGAAACATGCTACTGACTCCTGAACGACCGCTTCTTGATGTATACCATTCACATCGAGCGTCAGCCAAGGTAACAAGGTAACATCTTTAACATCATCTGTCATGATGCGGCCAGGGATCAACCAACGACCGGAATGAGATAACATCTTATGTGTGGTATAAGTCACCGCAATTTGCTTGAAAGAGTTGCGTGCATATATCCTAAAGTCATGATTTTAAATTTACTCACACAAAGCAGACACGCTATGATATAGCTGAAACTCATTTAAGCAGCACTAGATCCAACTCACTGTGTTTTGCGCACCGCTCTGGCAACTTAAGAGGTTTAAATAGTTTAAAGGGAGGTAACTCGTACGTGTATACCACCCATGTTTTATCGACGCACCCGATGGGCTACACGCTTTCACTTAAATATTTTTAGCACGGCCCCTCTCTCACACACATTGCATATATCGATCTGGGAAAACATGTACCAGTTGTCGTTTCCCTGTAGCCTCACAAAACGCAAGACATTGAAGCGTGTAACATGGTATCCCTATAATCATTCAGAACACCTGGAATACTTACAAAGTAGTGCCAAATTAGGGTCTCAGTGTGCTCATGTCTGTGTTATCAACTGATGAAATGTTGCGCCCCTATGCAACTCTGCACAGCGAATCGCGGCGCCTTATACGACTGAGCCCCCCCCCCCCCCCCTATCTTAACACGAAACGAGAGTTCAATGCCATAACCATTCATAGCTATTTTATACTTATTTTAACGACACAGTCAGCAATATTCCTGCTACATCATGACTGCTTGAAACTTCAGTCTGGGCAAGGTAAACCTGTGATTGGAAGCTGTCTGTGAGTCACAATCAGTCAAGTCACTGAGCCTCTCCAAACAAACAATAGAGTGATGGGGTAACTTATTCTTACCCGGGTCCACAGGGGGCATGTCTACACAAAGATATGTACAGTGTCGTGTAATACATTTCCCCAACTTCACGTACAACGGGAAATGACCAACTTTTATAAGGAAATATTATGGAGCGAAACTGAATATTGTGTGGCTTTACAAACAAATCACAAACCAGATCTGGCAGTATTAACTCACCACAGTGACGGTTATGGTTCTGTTTTATGTTGTGGCCGGAGGAATATATGTGTGTGGTATGTATATGTTTTCGTAAACATAATTTGGTATTATATTCAGCTGTGCTTATTAAAACTTATTTTTGCCTTAATAGTTCGCATTATTTGATATTTCTATTAACTTTTAACCGACATACGTGTCTATGACGTTTATGTGTTTTGTGTGCAGCTGTTGCCTCCATGACAACTGAATACCCACACACCGTCACACGTGCTGGCTACGATGTTGACATGACCATGAACCCAGCTGATGTCGGCCACCTATATTACGTATGGAAGAATGGTTCAGTAGCTGGCAGACTGTTAGTGGTCGTGCCTAAGTCACACAGTGTAGAGGTACTGAACAACAGTAACACCGGCTACACGACCAGGATCAGATACACAGGGGAGGACTCACTATCACAGACTGGACAGCTGAGGTTTACCATCTACAATATTACTGTACAGGACGCTGGTACTTACTACTGTCAAGGAAACAATGGACAGATAATACCTGGATGTAGGCAGATCCTCGTTGTGTCACGTAAGTATTACCTGTGATTAACCGAAGAATATTCCAAGAAATGAAAGTGCATTAAGCTGCATTGCGGTAATAAATAAACAATGTCAGAAAGTAATCATTGGTAGCAGACCCTTTAGTTGGGAAGAAAGTAAAACCGTTAGAAGTATAAGGATAGGAGTGGTATGTTACTTTTTAATGTTTCATACACCTTTGGTCAGGAGGGTTCAAGTATTTCGCGAGGCAGCTCATGCTCGTCACATTCATCACTTGTGCCTCGCAGTTTTGTCACGGGAAATGTGCCATGGGAATTATCACTTTCATTTGTAATTTTAAGATTTCAAAACCTCCTGCCATTGGCTACAAAGGAAATTCCATGACATAACATAATGAAGAAAAGAACTGAAACAATTTAATTTGAGTAAAGTGTAATCATGGAATACCGACATGATTTGGGGTAATACCCTCAACGGTTGTTGGTGATAAAATATAGGTGTAACGAGGTTCGAACATCATGACATCATGATATAACATATAACATGATGTTAATTTGAATTCCATTTACTCGAGATATAAAACGACACAATTCTATGGTCCTGGTTGACTGGTTCATTTTGAAATATTAATATTTTAACAGAGCAGCCGACCACACCTAACATCACAGGACCTCCCTATGCTGTATCAGGTGAGAATGTCACCCTGACATGCTCCTCCTCCTCCCATAGTCTGCCCCTGGACCACCCCCCACTGAACATGACCTACACCTGGAGGAGGAACAGGACCCTGCTGGAATCTGGTGACGGGTCTCACACGGGCGGAGATGACCTGACAATAACCCACATCAGCAGAAAGAACCAGGGATACATCTACACCTGGAGGAGGAACAGGACCCTGCTGGAATCTGGTGACGGGTCTCACACAGGCGGAGATGTCCTGACAATAACCTACATCAGCAGAGGGGACCAGGGAGACATCTACACCTGCCAGGCTGTGGAGGAGGGGCTGGAGTCTGACTGGAGTCACGGACATGTACTGGAGGTTCAGTGTGAGTAAGCACTTACCTTGTTTAAGGTATGTGAAGGAAGTATCTTATCTTTGCAACTGTGATTCTAAGCGACAGTTTTGTGTGAACTGATTTTTCTGAAGCATTGTGCATTGTTCATAATAACGTTTATGTTCGGAAGTATTATCAAAGTATGTCGGCGGGTCGTGTCGGATCGAAGCCCGGCCCTTGCGCTCTCCGGGCGGACGCTCTACTACTTGACCACGGAGGCAGTCTAGGGATGTTTACAAGTGAAAAATACATTTTAGATGAGTTATGAGTATGGTAAGGCACAAATCTAAAATCAAGGTAAAAATAAAACATATGTGAACCATTACCAAATAAACATATACCAAATACCATGACATGTTGAACGAACATTGCTGAATAGCATATAGTGAAACCTCAGTTTAACCTGATATCTTGTGTTAGCAATTTGAATGTAGTCTCAACAACAATATATTGCTTCAAGGAGACGGTGTTTTTTTAATGGAACTGTTTAAAGAAGCATATTTTAAAATATGGTATACTGTTGTTCTTAGAATATCTATTGCATGTGTTTAAAATCTAGGTAGAAAGGATGTATTCCAATTCACAATGGGTAAGTTACTATGCTAAATCGTCCTTTCTACAGACCGATGTAGTGACCCATAAAACTCGAGCTTGAAATATTTAAACACCTTTCATTTACCTTCTCAGGAATGCAAACTTTCCATTGTAAACCTCTCCAGACACGACTTATCTATAAGATCTGAAAGAAATCTTGTCACTGAACATGTGACGCCAATGACGCAATTACCTGACGCCAATGCTCTTCCTGTAACGCTTGTGATTGGCTTGATGGCAATCACTGGGCCACGAAATATTTATCTTTCAACTTTTAATCGATTACTCATTGATCGATCATTGTTTGATGGCCCTGAACTCAGCGTCCATGCGTGATACTGATTTGTGCGTCTTACCTGTTCACTGTAAACAACGGCCATGCCACACTAACGCACCCACGCGTTGCAAATGCAAATTCCGTAATAAAATAAACATGTATTAGATCATAAGCAAACTTATATCTCTTACCTAATCTTGACTTTGTCATTTGTGCGCTACTGTTATTATTTATCGCCACGTTTACTCCTGTTTCAAAAGCAACAATTTTCCAGCAGGCTATGATACATGCTTTGTAAATTCTTTTCTGAGAATTCTGAGAATACTTGTATACATTCTATCTGGAAGAAATCCTTGCAGGTACGATCAGATATGAACGCTATATGCACTGTTGCTAATCACCAGTTAAACGATCCCTTTTTGTCAGTGTAAAATTGTATAATGGGCTTCGTCCGACGTCCGTTCTCCACAGGTCGGTCCGTCTGTTAGCAATGAAACATATCAATTCCATGTTCACATACAAAATTGTACATCCACTTGCTGATTGGAGGTTCGATAAATTCAAATGCCCAGAGCATCAGTGCATTTTTAATTTAGGTAAAAATATAATCTTTGTGCCGAGTCTTCGACGTGACGAGCGAACGCTTAAACCACTACGCTACCTCCTCACACGTCTCAAACATGAAATAAGATCTTGCCATTGCACGTTACAACGAAATCATTTGTTACATGTTGGCTCCAATTTTGTACGTACATACGTACTTACCAACATACTCTTAAGCAACACTACATATGTAAAACTGATTATTCTGTAATAAGATGGGTTGACTGTCAAGGTCAAGGTCATCATGCAAAGTGTGTATAACCTCAATATTTTATGATCGGGTAATCCCTAAACTAGAAACACTGACCTTAATTGATCGTGAAAATTACAGCGTTTCCTCTTTTTCAACCCTTCACTGAACCGCTCCTTTTCATCCCTCCTTCCAGGGCCCAGTCGTCTAAGGCACCGCGATTTGCTGTGCAGAGTTGATTGCTGGTTCGAATCCAGGTTCGCCCCGATTATGTCTCTAGGTTTGTCAGCACGATAACCGTGCTCGTGGGTTTCACCGAAGTGGCAAACGTCTAAGACCTGCTTCACTTCGGGCTTTCCTACCACATAAAGCCGACACACCGTGATATAATCATGGAATCATGTTAGAAGCGTTGTTATACCCAACTCACTCACTCACTCAATCACTCATTCACTAACTCATCCCCCCTTCCCCATCCTACCCCTCCCCCTTTTACAATATTGGCCCCTCCGTCACATGTGTATTTCCAGTAGTCACACACGTACAAGTCACAGAAACAAACCGCACATGTTTATCTCGCTATTTACACATATATTACAAAACCAAACTGTACTCGTACATCACATTATTTAGGATCAGAAGGATGCGCTGTTGCGTGCAGTAGCATTTTCCGTTTAGTTTCCGATACAGTGTGGAACTTCTGACCATAGTACATCAAAAATTCCAGTTGGACCTGACCAGATACAGTTTAACGGTGCAAGTGACAGGCTAAAGGCAGTAGAAGGTGACCCTCTCACAGTGAGATGTTCTGCTGACTGTAACCCCGCCTGCACTGTGACCTGGTGGGACACATCCAGACAGAGGGAGATCATGGGACATAGGGAGGCTGTGTTGTATATACCAGCTGTAGACAGATCTGTGTCTGGACAGTACATCTGCCACGTCAACAACAGATATGGGAATACATCACGGAACCTGACGCTGGACGTGTTCTGTAAGACTTCTACAACATTACTGGTGTTAGACAGAATCTGTAACTTTTATTTGGATAACTCCTGTAATGACAAATTTCATTTTCATTCATTTCAACTTCATCTAAACCCACAGAGATGATTAATCATTTAAACAGGTAATATTGACTATATTCTGATGATGTGACATCATGTCAATGTGATTCTTGAGATTCTTTCAAATGGCAAAGCGTTTCTGTTCATTCAGAATCAAATTAACAAAGATCTGTATTAAAGACAGAAATCGATTGTTTATTTACTACCTAATTCGACAAACGAAACTGTTCCGATAACTCGTAAGATGTGCGACAATTTTACTGAAGTTCACCACATTTAGAAATTAAAGTGACCGCTTATTCCATATGTTATATATCGGAAACATTAGAATTCAAAACAATGCTTTTGTTATTTATTTAATGTTCCAGCACGTGAGGTTACTGAAGGTGGCGTCGCTTCCTTCGTCTACGTGGCTGCTGTTTGTTCTGTGCTGATCGTCGTCATCGCCGTGGTCGTCATATTTGCTGTTCGTAGAAAACAGACAGGTGAAGGTAATACTGTGTGGTGTGAGTGCGAATGAGTACAACGTGAGACTCACATAAACTATTCTATCATAATATTTTAGAATCCTGCATTATGATTGGTCCACCGACGGTATCGCATCTACTCTTGGCCACGATTTGGCAGATGACCACATTACCACGAACGAAAATATCAGAAGCACTTCTTTCGGAAACCCACCCGTTTGGCAATATCAAATATTGATCTTACTTTATTAATGTTGCTGAATAACGTGTCGCGTTTTCAACATTATTCCCAGCAAGTGTGGCAGTATATTACAGGCGGAAAACATGACGTACAAATACTTAGATAGTGTAAAGAGCTGTTGCTTTCGGTTTCGAATAAAATATTCAGGTATCAAATCTAATTTCAAAAGCTCTATATTAAACACACACTAGGTTTATCTCCTAAATTTGATTTGTGAAGTAAGTGGTTGTGTGCACATAAACCAGGCAGCGTATGTCGTTGTTCACATTATTGACCACTGGTTCCTTGATCAAGATATCAGAAACTGACCTTTAGTTAGTTTAACTACGAATGAGCCGTGTATTCACCTGATCGACTGATGTCAACGAAACAATTTTCTTTTCTGACTGCAAACTGTACACTATATATTCTGGATTTAAAGTTATTCATGAAGATTCAATGCAATAACGATATGTGATGTGTATAGTTAGGGTTGTGTGACGTTATGCGAAAATCGTTCGTCCGAGTCTCAGTATTAAAGTAAAAGCTTAAATGAAAACGATATTGATGAACACGAATTACGTGAAACATGGAAGACATTATATAGTTGTTGTTACCCTAAGTTTCATCCTATAAAACCAGCATGTCATTGACGGTTTGGTGATAGGTGGAATGTGTGGGGCTTGACCTATGATATCAGTGGATTTATTCTTCAACTATATAGTTTACTTCCTTGTATTTTATCTTGAATAAACAAAAAGAAGGCCATGTTTCCCTGTCCTTGATATTCAGCATTAGTCACTGTTAAGGATCAAAACCAAGTCCGTGCGAAGAAGGAGAATCTGACACCAGCGTTTAAGGAAGATTATTATTACTGTGATTATTATAAGCTTTCATTCTCATAAAAACAGTGTGTCAGCGAAGAGATGTTGAAAATGGAACACAATGACATAAGCTCACTTGTAAACTTAGATGAGGTGATGAGGTGAATAAAAGGCAACTAGGGTTATATCTTCTTGACAGTGTCAACCTGGCTCTCCTTTCCTTCAATACTGAGTAATTTCCAACATAACCGTCAAGGTATGCATTAACTAATCATAAACAGTACGACAAAAGAATCAATATCGGATATATACATTCCATTTTCTATTGCGAAACTGACTTAATGAAAGAGCAGCTGAGATTGTTTGAATTTTGTCATTTATGAGGTAAAATGATTTGAATTTATTCCAGGGATTAACTAGACAGTGTTTGAACATGTAAATTTAATGTCTATCATATTATTATTATTAGGGCTCCAAGCCGAAAGGCTGTAGAGCCCTATTGTAATCGTTCGATTTATTATTATTATTATTTATTATTATTATTATTATTTATTATTCCGCCGATTTTTGTACCTGCCCTAGCAAAATAACCACCAGCTCGATTTTGTTCAAATTTTATGGGTGTTTGTAGACCGTTGGGTACTAGTGCCCGCCAGAAAGCCAAGGCCGTAGGCCTAAAGGCCAAGGGCAGATAACTGAAAAACAAGTATTTTTTGACGATATATTTTGCCCTGTTGCTCTACAACCGTTTGCCCGTTTACTTTCAAACCTTGCATGTATCTACTGCTTCAGTTGCTTGATATTTTTTGTTCTTTGACTTTGTCCATTGATCACGTTGTTTGGCAGCCATATTGGATTCAAGGTTTTGACAGGGTTTTATGGGCACCTGTCTTCAAATACTATCTCCTCTGAATCCGCTGCATGAAATGATTTCAAACTTTTTGAGAATTGTCTCCATACAGAACACAACAAATGAGCATAGCCGTTTTTTTATATCTTTTTAGTTGCGGTCATATTGGATTTTGATTTTGATAAAAAATTTCACCCAAGTATAATACTGATGGAAGCGCCTCATAAATCTACTATAAACCCCCATTCACTGGCTTTGCAGATACCCTAGCGTTCTCCACAGCCTTGTTCAATATTATGTGTACTACCCTTGACGACCAGAGTTAGAATTGGCCTTTTTCAAACGATGCTTGTCTCAAGAGGCAACTATGCTTGTCACAGGTGGCGACTAATCGGATTGGGTGATCAGACTCGCTGACTTGATTCTTCATTTCTCAATTGCCAATTGCTACGGTACCTTATTTTTGACAGCGTTGTTAAAAGCAAACCATTTGCAAACCATTTGCGGATTAGAATATGGAGGTCGGCATTTAGTCCACTCTGGGAAACTGTGGCACACGCCAATTTGGTAGCGGCAATGGCCTGCAAACGTGGACTATCTTTTGATGGAGTTGGTACAAGCAAACCATGTGCGGATTCGAACATGGTCGAAGTCAAACATTGGTTAAGAATACACTGGGACACATGTCATGATGTCTCACAAGCGGTTTATTACATTTAACGGCGTTGGTACAAGCAAACCATTTCGGGATTCGAACATGGTCGAAGTCAAACATGGGTTAAGAATACACTGGGACACGTGTGGTGATGTCTCACCAGCGGTTCATTACATTTGATGGCGTTGGTACAAGCAAACCATATGCGGATTCGAACATGGTCGAAGTCAAACATGGGTTAAGAACACACTAGGACACGTGTGGTGATGTCTCGCCAGCGGTTCCTTACATATGATGGCGTTGGTACAAGCAAACCATTTGAGGATTCGAACATGGTCGAAGTTGGAAATTGGTTAAAACATCCTGGGACACCCAAGCACATGTCAATTTAGTAGTGGTGATGTCTCACAAGAGGTTCCTTACATTTGACGGCGTTGGTACAGGTAAACTCTTTGAGGATTCGAATATGAACGATGTCGGAAACAAGTTTAGCACGACAGGAACCCGGGGTCCGGACGAACGCAGAACGCTAATCCGTTTGACTGGAGCCCAACTGACAAAGAAGTTACAGCCTGTTAAAGAGTCCCCAAGCCGTAAGGCTGAAGAGCCCCAGTGTAAGCGTTTGATTTAATATTATTATTATTCCGCCGATTTTTGTACCAGAGCTAGCAAAATAACCACCAGCTCGATTTTGTTCAAATTTTGTATGTGTATGAAGACTGTTGGGTACTAGTGCCCGCCAAAAACCCAAGGCCGTAGGCCCAAAAGCCAAGGGCAGATAACTAAAAATCAAGACGTTTTTAAAGATGTATTTCGCCCTATTGCTCCGCAACCGCTTATCAGATTACTTTGAAAACTTGCATGTATCTGCTGCTTGAGCTGCTTGACATATTTTGTTCTTTGACTTTGGTCATTGGTCAAATGGTTTGGCAGCCATATTGGATTCAAGGTTTTCACAGTGTCTTTTGGGTACCTGTCTTCAAACGCAAACAACTCCGAGTCCACTGCATGAAATGCTTCCAAATTTTCTGAGAATTGTCTCCACACACAACACAGCAAACTCTCATAGCCGTTTTGGGATATCTGTTTTAGTTGCGGTTGTATTGGATTTTGATTTTGATAAAAAAAATTACCGAAATTTTACTTTAAAGATCATATCTTGTTAGCTTGTTGACAGAAACTATTGCAAGTTTACATGAAGTTAGGTATCATATGCATCTTATTTTCTGTTCTTGGGTGCATGGAAAAAGTAACAACACTTGGTGGTAATATTTGATTAGAATTTGGGACACCCCTGGAACACGCCAATGTCCTTCAAATGGTGACTATCTTTTGACAGAGTTGGTACAAACAAACCCTTTGAGGATTCGAATATGTTTGATGTCGGAAATGGGTTTAAAACAGACTTAGCACACGCCAATTTCGTAGCGGCAATACCCTGCAAGTTGTGCCTACATGTGACGGATTTGGTACAAGGAAACCCTTTAAGGATTCGAACATGGACGTTTGTGCACAGTGTAACTTGGAGCCCGCCATTGCTGCTTGCAGCTTTAATTATTATTATTATTATTATTATTATTATCTCATTAAACCCAATATATCATCTCAGCATCTCTAACATAATTGTCAACATGAAAGAGTTGTCGAGATAGAGTTATGTTTTATTTAGGGCATTCACATCGGCTAACCATTTTGTGTAGTTGTGATAGAAAAGATTATTTGAAACTACGATGCCGGGCTTCTGTAGGTGTTTACTATGGCTTCATAACAAGTAGAACTTCTTTGACGCGTTTTTTTCGTAAATTTGGATAAACAGGCACATGTTGTGCAAAGTTCAAATTATTTATTATTATTTCAAAGGTATGTAATAACACGAGTAATTAAAGCTGCAAGCAGCAATGGCGGGCTCCAAGTTACACTGTGCACAAACGTCCATGTTCGAATCCTTAAAGGGTTTCCTTGTACCAAATCCGTCACATGTAGGCACAACTTGCAGGGTATTGCCGCTACGAAATTGGCGTGTGCTAAGTCTGTTTTAAACCCATTTCCGACATCAAACATATTCGAATCCTCAAAGGGTTTGTTTGTACCAACTCTGTCAAAAGATAGTCACCATTTGAAGGACATTGGCGTGTTCCAGGGGTGTCCCAAATTCTAATCAAATATTACCACCAAGTGTTGTTACTTTTTCCATGCACCCAAGAACAGAAAATAAGATGCATATGATACCTAACTTCATGTAAACTTGCAATAGTTTCTGTCAACAAGCTAACAAGATATGATCTTTAAAGTAAAATTTCGGTAATTTTTTTTATCAAAATCAAAATCCAATACAACCGCAACTAAAACAGATATCCCAAAACGGCTATGAGAGTTTGCTGTGTTGTGTGTGGAGACAATTCTCAGAAAATTTGGAAGCATTTCATGCAGCGGATTCAGAGGAGATAGTATTTGAAGACAGGTGCCCATAAAACCCTGTCAAAACCTTGAATCCAATATGGCTGCCAAACAACGTGATCAATGACCAAAGTCAAAGAACAAAAAATATCAAGCAACTGAAGCAGTAGATACATGCAAGGTTTGAAAGTAAACGGGCAAACGGTTGTAGAGCAACAGGGCAAAATATATCGTCAAAAAATATTTGTTTTTCAGTTATCTGCCCTTGGCCTTTAGGCCTACGGCCTTGGCTTTCTGGCGGGCACTAGTACCCAACGGTCTACAAACACCCACAAAATTTGAACAAAATCGAGCTGGTGGTTATTTTGCTAGGGCAGGTACAAAAATCGGCGGAATAATAAATAATAATAATAATAATAAATAATAATAATAATAAATCGAACGATTACAATAGGGCTCTACAGCCTTTCGGCTTGGAGCCCTAATTAGTTGATCCGTTATTCATCTTGAAACCTTTATACATAATTATCTACACATAACTCTAACTTTCAGAGAGAGGACCCATTCATAACCAGTGAGTATCTGCTATCTATCAAGTCTGGTGGGGAAATAGTTCACCTAAACATTGCGTTTTCAACGTGCATGGCTAAAGGAACAAAACTGTATCTATGCAATTTGGAACACAATCTAAATTGATTGTGTCACAAATTATCTCGGCCGTCATATAGCTGGAATATTGCTGAGTGCGGCGTAAAACAACAAACCGACGACAACAACAACACAAATTATCTGCTTGCTAGTTGCCTTGATAAGTTCCTTCTATTCCAATCACTTTCCTTCCCCTCAGTGGGGTCACATATACCCGGGACGCTGAAACAGACGGGAGCTACCAGGAAATAGAAGGTTGGTGGCGTAAGTCTAAATTAGTATTTGAAAAGCAATTTCAATTAATTTGGATGACGCTTCTTAAACTTTATAAGAGGTCATCACAAAGCATCAAATGCACCACTGTTAATAAACAGTGCTTCCTTATCCTTCAAATGATGTGGATAACGCTGGCGTCACATCATTGTTGAAACTATTTACAATTAGTTTGAAGCTATGCAATGATAAAGAGTCATATGTTGTTCATACACCTAATTAACTGCAGAACACTGTTACTTTCAGAGAGAGGATACATTAATTATCGGTGAGTATATGCCATCGATCCTCTAGTGAAGTTAATAAATAGTTACACTCTACGCAGTGATTTATGACTTTGCATGGCTATGAGAGTGAAACTATATACAGTTTGGAGCACAATGTAAATTGATAGTGTATCACAGCATATCCGGTCCGAGATCATGTTTAATATTATTATTCATTTCCATCAGCGTGGTCTCATATGTCCGGGATGAGGAAAATGAAGGTAGCTACCAGGAGATAGAAGGTTAGTGTCTTCCCGCTATCTACTGGTATGATTGTGTAATGACCGCGCAACTCGAACTGATGTGTATGGTACTATTCTAACGACTTCAATCCATCTAAGTCAATCTATTTCCCTCCTGAAGCCGGGAAGCTTAGACTAAGATACAAATCAAATTCATTCCCATTTTACGACCTTACGGAAACGTCAAATAGGAGTAGTGCTGCAACATTCTTTTTACAAGATTTCCCTTTATTATAACCTCGTTGCGTGACGTCGTAGCACTCCTTGACGTCATCCATAGAATGTCACTGCACAACAGATGTTGAGGGAAACACGTAAATTCGCTCGTTGTTGTCTATTTGTCAAAGAGTTAACAGACTAAAATGTAGATTTTATTGTTGTTTTGTGAAAGATCCACTTTTTATCCATGTGGTTAAAATATTATTGAAACGTTATATACTATAAATTACACTTTTATGCGAAACTGAATGTTTTCCCTTCATAGTTAATAAGTGTGTCTCGTGCAATAAAATGTACAGCAACCCCTTTTTTCATGTGGATAATTATATAACATAACAAAGATTTCATAATACTTGTCATAGAATAGGAAACTTACACTTAATACAACAGCAGACATCCTTTAGTTATATGTATTTTTACTATTAAAAGCCATAATATATATTTAACGACACTTCTTAAACATAGAAATGAGCCATCATGAAACATTACAAGGGTTATGTAATACGCCATGTTTGAGAAACCAATCCATGGGCCTGCATAGCAGTAACGGTCATAGGCATTCGAGAAGTTGGTAAGTGAAAAACAACACATACAACTTTATGGATGACAAATTCTGGTTTATTTCATTTAGCGACGTTTCGATGTAGACTCTTTCACCGTTTCCAAGCTGGAGTGATGGGGAAAATTCGATTCCTCATCCATTGCTAATTGCTCGCTTCTCTTTTTGCACTTTTATGTGATATAGTCAGGGTTTCCTCAGCTTAAAAATAGGGTTCGTAGTTTGCTAATTGTTCCAGGTTACCCGAAGAGATAGTTTGATCCATGGACATTTCTGATATCCGATAATTAAAATGTATATTGAAATGAACATAAAATATTAGGTGGTGAATCCCCAATGGTTGCAATACGGTAATGCATGGTTGGCATTCTCATGAGAATTATCATGTTGAGTATACATGTGAGTAACCTTTGTCTTACGCCAGAAGATGATGTGAACGTAGACGACATCGTCCCTATTGTAGCCGTCTACTCTGTTATACTCACCGCTGTGACAGTTGTTGTTGCAGCAGTTGCTATTCTTGGCTGCAAGGACGTGAAAGGTGAGTAAACAAATTACTCTCTTAAAATGCAATCAACCATAAGTTCACGGTTTTCGGGTATCTGGAAACGCTGAAGTCTTGGGTTCGTCAGCCCTGTTTTGTTCCTATTTTTTAAAGAAAATTCATTGCACAAAGTCTTATTCGTTACATAATTTGACAAGTTCAACCTTTTTTTACTTCCAGAGGGACACAGCTTAAGGTACATGCATTTTATTATGTTTCGGGTAAATTAACAGAGTTTTCATGTTAGGTCTCAACTATGGATTAACTGCAATTAGGACAAGCCCCAACTGAACAACTTGTTCAGGTGCTCACTATTATGTGAAACTTCATTTACACAAGCTATCTGACAGCTAAATAAACAATGCCTGTATTTGGTATTTTATATTGCGAAAGATGGGCAAATATTACCATATAAATATATTGCATATTTGCATTGCCAACCTCAATTAAACACATGTATCATTCAACGTATGTGGAAGTCAAAGTCATCTGTAGTTTATGAGAGTGTTATGTTGTATTTATAGATGTGGTGAATATCTCACTGTGGTGGGGGAGAGACTATCCCGTGACATCAGTGATGCACCGTACGCTTCCATCAATGACGAGGATGCCTTATCCTTGCATGATTATGAACGACTACTAAGGGAACAGTTTCACATCTACACGTGTCTCAACTCATCAGCTTCCTCTACAGAGGACCACAGTAACAGGTGCAGCCTCGTATGAGGGAACAGTTCCACATCTACACGTCTCTCCACTCTTCAGCTTCCTCTACAGAGGGCCACAGTACCATGTGCAGCCATATACAACCCTATGTGCGATACAGGGAAACTTGCGAGATCCTGGCGTTTGATATTAACATTTATGGAATATGGTTGATTGTGTCGTGTGATATATCACGTCAGCACACTTGCTTGTCCATTGCAGAACTTGCGAATGGCCGAATTTGTGCAATGCAGTGATGAAGACTTATAATAAAGAAGAAAATGTAGGTACTGTGCGTTGTCATCGCTGATCGAGGCGGTAGCTTGTAACCTTGAAGCTTCTATCTTATATTTCCTATACAACATTATGTAAACAACAATCATTTTGTAAAACATAAATTTTTCAATAAATATTACATTTACCTGTTGTATTTGTTATTTCTTATTTGTGATCATCACACAGCTCATCTTTTCATAGGTATATTTTCATTAATCTGAAACACTATATTCATAGCATCTTGGCACTTACTAATTCAAGTAAGAAGGGAGCGGGTGGTCCTGTCGTCTAAGGCCCTGCATTTGACTGTTGCCATGGCTCTGTTATCCCTGATACGTCCTGATTTTAATCCTTTGTTTGTCACCACCGTGTTCGTGGAGGTCACAAAAGCAGTTAAGACATACAAAAACGTATTAAGTTGACATGCCATGATCTTTCTGAAATACATTTACAGTTTAAATAAGGTTCTTAAATTAACTGGGGGCACGGGTGGCCCAGTCGTCTAAGGCGCCGCAATTCGCTGTGCACAGTTGCGTCCCTTGGGCACGCCAGAAACCTATGATTGCGGATTCGAATCCCGGTTCGCCCCAATTATGTCTCTAGGTTTGTCAGCACCATACCCGTGCTCGTGGGTTTCACCGAAGTGGTAAACGTCTGAGGCCTGCATCACTTCGGGCTTTCCTCCCACATTAAGCTGACACGCCGCGATATGACTGGAATACTGTTAAAAGCGGCGTTAAACCCAACTCTCTCACTCACTCACTCATAGCACATTCAATATGCAAAACAATCCCTCGTACAGCTTTAAACCTGACCCCTGACATCATGGAACAATTCTATTGACATCTGGTAAACATGCACAATAATATTAAACAACATTATCCAGATTTAACGTTTACCGTATAACTCTAATTGTTGTTAGCCCTAAAAGGAAAAAGACTTTAGACTTTAAACACGATTTCACCTCTAGTGTAACTCAAAATGCAGACGCGCCTCTTCTTGATATATTTATGAATCTTTGAAGGTAAGTTGAGGTCTCATTAAAATATAGTAGCTCTTGAGGAACTGATACTTGTATAATATAAATAATTATTAATAAAAGCAACAAATGCCTTTCCATAATCATAAGAAATCTCCATATCGAGGATGTGTTTATGAATCACTAATTAATCGTGATGATACCGGTAATCGCGAAAAGATTAGGGTAAACTGCTCCACCAGTAGCACCCATGCAAACACATGCAAAGGCAAATCAATTGTTCAGTTGAACAACGACCAAGGAATCACACAAAAAAACAAGTCCCAGTTATGACCTATTAGTAATGTGTCAGTTCAACAAATGAAGTATGAACTTGGACAAGTCGCATACCACGACATTCTTTTAAGTTCTTACGTTCCCATAAGACATTCACAGAGTTTGGTCATCATCTTCTTGTTGTGAATAATGTTATGTAGCAGTAGAAGCTGTTTTAAACTTACTTGTAGAACGAGGGTTGATTGATACTTTTGAGCCTCACGTAAATGGGATTGTGTAATAATGTTGTGGACATTACCGGATATCATATAGGAAAACAAAAAACTTGAGTGACCTCAACAAATTGTTTCTCTGTGATAAGTCAGTAAAATCAGCAAGGTTCTCTGACCTTTGGAAAATGGACATGTGGAATGTGAGCAGAGATTTCTTATGAATATGGAAAGGGATTTGTCGGTTTATTTATCTGATATGGAATTTGTTCTAATTACCACTAGGCTACACCACTTTCGGAGCACGAAAAATTACCTCCGGATATAATCAAGAAAAATATGTTGATGATACAGTTTTTATATGCGTTCGTAGTGCGTATGCATTACTGGTGTTTTCTGGAGAATCCGGAGTAGAGTAGACGTTTCACAGTACAGTTGCTTAGTGTTGCCGAGGCCCCCATTTGAAAGACCAGCTGATGCAAAACATCGTCCCGGCCGCAGGTGTCGATATTACATAATGTGCAATAAATGTGGAATGTTATTACACGGGTGATCACTGTGTAGGTACCTAATACTGACACGTTCGATATATGTACATCTTGATCTATATACATAATGTCAAAACTGTGATTAAATAGCATGAGGTCTCTGAAAAGATTGGTTTTAAGGCTTGGTTACTTGACTGACAGTAAGTCATCGTACCGGACGATGTTGACCGTTCCTCATAATGTCAGTCACTGTATTCTATGGTCCAAACTCGATTATTTATAGGCCGCCACCATATAGCTGGAATATTGCTGAATGATACACGTTTTGTTCCGAAACGACGGAGGTTGCAATAAGAAATAAATGCGCATTTAGATTTGTAACAACACTCAGTGTGTCACAATCTGTGTGATAAGCAGATATTGGAACAGATTCTAAACCTACGAGATCAATCATGTTCAGGACATTCGCAGGACCCAGGCTCTGTTGAATATAGAAAATAAACAGCCAATGATTACTGGTGTTTTCCGGTTGATCATTCGACATCATGCAGCTCATCTGCGTGTTCGACGACCACATTTTATCCCACGTTTGACTGAAAGCCAGAAGTGCAGACAATGTAAGCACTGGACGAATAGAAGAAATGCATGTGGAATGTCGCCTTACGAATCAAGTTCACCTTATACTTCCTTGACAGGCGGGACAGTGTTTGGAGAAGTACGTACGTCTGCAAAAATGAGAGGTTTGGCGGTGGTTCAGTTTTGGGTTAGGGATGAGATCATAATGGCAGATTACCACATCATCCACAGGAGGGTCACAGAACAGTACTGCCGTATAAAACATACTTGCGGCTAACGTGCTGCCAACTGCACGTTTCACCTTCAAATTTGATAAGACCATAGTCGGATTGTCACAGCGTCCTTGCCTCAGCAGAACATTGCTATATGACAATGACCAGCACTATATCACACATTAGCCTTCACTGGGCCTTGTGCTTCATGGGATTAGGATAGGAAACCCAAAATGACCACTGGTTTATCAAGGGCGTACCACGTCAATCAACGAATGTTTGTTGAATCGTGGTTGGTATTCCCGTTATATAGACGCACATGTAGCAAATGCATTCTGAGCTAATGGCGTTCACCTCTGTTTTACTCCAGGACATGAACTCGTGATAATCGTGATTTGTCAAATTCTTCCTCATTATGATTCATTCATAACCAGTATTTGTATAGTTACTGTATATTTGTCCACAGTCACACATGTACACGCAAAATTAATGTTACGGGACAATAAAAGTATAATGTTCAATGTATCAAGTATTTCCTTCCTGTAGGAAACCATTAGTTCCGGTATAACGTGTTATGTCATAGCTAGTGAAATAACAATTATATACGTTCAGGTAAATATAGTATTTCATCATTAAATAGGACATATAACATACACAAACTGTTGTTTTTTCTATATTTTATTTCTAAAATTGCTTCAAACATATATATAAAATAGTTGATTGAAAGAACCATCAACCTTTCATGATATGATAGAAACGAAGCATTCGACATGACTCATGTACTGTAACAGGAGTAACATAACTAATCATAATTTGAAACACATAGCGAGACGGATATATAAATTCGAAAATAACGGATGATAACAAGAACATGTAGAGTTATGGTAATGGATGGAAAAGAGACAGGAAGAACTAGGTTAAATATGACAACTTGACAGAACATGTTGGCGGTGCAAGACGGTTTCATGATCCCCGACGTTTTGAGAGGTGAGGTGAGGTGAAATTGGGTTTAACGCCGCGTCCAAGATTATTGCACTTATATAGCGACGTGCATGCAAGTGTGGCTGCTTGTACACCATGCCGCAGTTTAACATGAATACCCCACTCAGACACAGTATACTGACTCCGAGCCGACCAGTGCTTGTTTTAGCCCCTTAATGCCGAGCGCCAGACAGGGTAGCAACAAGTACAATCTTTTAACGTCTTTTCGTATGACGCGGCCGGGGATGGAACCCCGGACCTTCCGCTCTCCGGGCGAACGCTCTACCACAAGACCACGGAGGCGGTCACTTTTTGAGGGAGTATATAAACCCAGGTAAAAATAAACGGATCACACACAAACATTAAAAAATATTAATAACATGATGACTGTAAAACTTCACACACTCAATTGTCTAGACACAATATTGCAAAGCCACAAAGCTACTTTTCATAGATGTATCAGGGTAGATTAGCACTGTTTCAGTGGAAGTTGGAATCAAAATGAAAGTATAGAAGAGAAGAGTTAGGTACCTCTAAAACTTAAATGATAGATTGAACATATTCACAGTTACTTTTGCCTTTTATAACCACTTAGGGTTACCATATTTGGTTGAAATTTCCCATGTGTAATGATACATGTATATATGGGTTATGTCAGAATTTGCAGCACCGAACTATTAATCTTACCACTTTTACAGGTGTTATGATCTAGTAGGGTGTGACAATAGAGCCAGTAGAATACCGAGCAGTGATTAGGTTTTTATATTTGAAAGGTCGCACACCATCTTTCGATGAAATAAAAGCAACTTATGGGGAAGATGCCCCATTATATGACGTTGTTAACAGTTCAAGTGTTATCGGACATCTGTGGAAACAGCTGCCATTCCTGGTCGCCCCCATTCAGCCATTGATGAGGACACTATCAATCAAGTGGAGACCGCCATTTTGGCAGACCGACGTATAACTGTTCGCCAGTTAGCACAAGATGTCAAGATCAGTGTAGGGTCTGTGGAACAAAATCATCCATGACAATTTGAACATGCATAAGGTGTCTGCACGATGGATTCCCAGGTTGCTCACACCTTTCCAAAAGCAGGAACGAGTCAATTGCTCAAAGGATCTTTTGGACATGTGCCAAAAAAACAGGCAAACGTTTTTGACAGACTTATCACACAGAATGAAACATGGGTCTCTCACTATGATCCTGAGACTAAAGTTCAGTCGATGCAATGGAAACTTGTGGAGTCACCACCCCCAAAGAAAGCACGTGTCCAACCCTCTGCAGGCAAGGTCATGCTCATGGTGTTTTGGGACCAGCACGGAGAAGTGATGATGGATTGCTTGGCAAAGGGGTACCACAATTA